AAGAACAGAGGAATCAAGTATCTATGATGAGATCACTGGTGGACTTGGTGCTGCAGCAAGGCGGAGTAATCGAGAGAATAATTCATCTAACTGTAGGGACAGACGGACTAGCCAAAATCTGGTCGCGTACTGAATCAAGATCATTAGGAAGTCCAGCGAGGGTAAGAACGAGAAACATCTTCTGTCGCTGCTCTTGTTGTTTTTCCACACTAGCCGAAACTGGCATCAACTTCTCAAATTCCTCCATGACTGCCTGTACTTGACCCAAGTAAGTAGACATATCCAATTCCTGCTTCTTTAAGTTTGTCATCCGTGATATCACATCATAGAAGCGAGATATGTCATTAGTGTATAAGGTGCGTGCCTTTGCCCAAACCAAATAACATGTCTGGAATGGACGAAACAAGGGCATCAACTTGGAATCAATAGATCGCCACAAGATGCTACATAACTGAGCATCGATTTTTGCCCAAAGTGCTATTGCCTNTAAGTGTTATTGCCTTTTCATCTTCATCGCTAGACTGTTTGATTAGATGATCTTGAACACCTTGACCTCTACACCATAACTCGACAAATGAAGCCCAAGCTAAGTAGTTTGAACCTCCCATCAAAGGTTCCGAGGTAATAATAGCACTAGAGCTTCCAGAACTCATGTTTCTAGACCCAAAAGCATCAAATCTCAAAGACATTGTTGCAAATTATTACCAAATAGGAGAAAGAATCAACTGTAATCCACTGAAACAGTGTACGGAAACACAGAAACAGAATACTGAAATACTGTAGCTGCCGGAATCTACTGCAGCTGCCGGAATAGTATTGTAGCTGTCGGAATAGTAATGTAGCTGCCGGAAAAAACTCAAAGTTTTCGGAATGAAATGAAAACAGTAGGGGTAGGATCGGAATTACCAGACGACCCAACTGTTCTGAAGGAAGATTTTCAAAAAATGGCCGGAAGTGGTCGTACGCGCCGGCGCGTGAACTCACGCGCGTGAGCTTCTGGTGGTGCATGGAGAGGCTGCTGCCGGAGCTTTTCACTGGGGTTTGGTCGCCGGACAGTGACGACTCTTGTGGTAGTGTTGGATTTTGCACAACACTGACAGAAATGAAGCAGATAGAAAACAGCCTTAAAAAAGTACTAATTTCTCTTTCCCGGAATCGCTGGAATTTATGCACAGCGATAAGTCTCTCACAATTGCTCTGATACCATGTGAGAAGGCACGGGAGAAAATATGTTATTGATATTAGATGAACAATACAATACAAGAGGTCCTTATTTATAGCTATACTATACAAGGACATACTACTCCTCTACCAATGTGGGACAATACTACACTATATACATGCTGTAAACTAACAATACCTAATTCAGATGTAGCCTAAATTAGTAAAGCTCTAACTACTATATATGGGCCAAATCCAAGAAATGCATACTTGCACGGAGAAGAAATTGAATGTTAATCATATTTCGGCACAGTGAACAAATAATCTGCCTATTTTACCATGTACCCTAAACCCTAACCTTCTCCGGGAAAGCAGCTATATGCCTCTATTGGCTTAAAATGCCTTACCTTGTGGCCTTTTTATTTAGGAGGCAAATCTCCCTGTTAGGTTGAAGCCTCTACAAGGTCTTCATTGACACGAAGGGGCACCACCAAATTGTTACAACACATAAAGGAATTATCCCTAAATTCATGAATTAGTATTATTATTTTTTAGTATGTGCTAAATGCCAATATATACTGAGTGAAAAGCCACGTAAAATAGTGTTTAGTGTATACATCTGATCACTAAAACTCAGTTCCTTTCATGATAGGAGACTAAGAAAGTTCATTATGCTTTTTACATCATTGACTTTACTCACTTACAGCAGAAGCCAAAAGGGAAGTAATATGTACTTTAATCTGAGAATATTCTCAGCTTTGCTTTCAGAAACCCTCTGATCCTCTCTTTCGACAGAAAATGTCCCACATCTTGCTTCACTCCTTGCCAGATTCTTTGTTGTACCAGGACAGCATTCAATTCTCTACCGTTATGAGCATATACCACACACTAAATGTACCGACCAAGAACTGAGACAGTTGTGAGGCCATGTGGCAGTGAATGAATTGCTGGTTCACAGATTGTATCGGCCTCAGATAAATGGCATCTATTGCATAATACCATTCTCATATTCTGAAGATTATCTTGTGTGAGAACAACCTCATGCATCAAAGTCCAGCACATTCATTTATCATTTTTAGAAAGAAAACTAGTAAGTCCATTTTAATTGCTCTTGCAGTAGCCCATTCTTTAAGGTTTTTGGTCAAGGTTGTCTTATCTTAAGAGAGATCTACTTTTCATTAACATTGAACGATTATCTCATTTTGGATATTGAAATTAATAAGAGGAAGATCAGTTAAATGTGCTAGATTGAGCTCTAACAAATCTTTACTTGTGGCTTAAGCTCAAGAATGAGTTTTCAAAAAGACATTCCTACATGTCCTGAACAATCAATAGAATGAGTGGGATGTAATAATATCTAGGCTTCTGGTGGTGTAAAGCAGTGAATATCTTTCGGTGAGATACACCTTCAGATTTACCAACGAACTAAGAAGCTTTATTTTCACACTCACATCCTTAGTATTTATTACCACTGGGACAATCACGCCCTCTGTTATTCTACTTTCTTTTTCTTACAAATTTCCTTCTTATCAATGAAGGAAAATGAGAAGAAACGGGTTTAAGAAAGACAACTCAGCTCGTTTCCAACTAGCCAATAGATGCCATGAGCCACACAAGTTCAGAGTCTACCCCCACTTTCATTCATTGCCCGGTAGCAACAGATATCTGGAACATTTTCTTAACCATTTTTGGATTGAAATTGGTCTATGCCTATTCAGTCAGAGAGGTCTATGAAGCATGGGGTCTCAGCAGAGTTGACAAAAAGCCATTAAGCACATCTGGCTTCAGAGGCGTATGTAGTGTTATAGTACCGGGTTCATCTGAACTCAGTATTTTCGATGCGGAGTATAAATTTAGTGTAAAAATTTAAAAAAATTATAGCACATAGTGGGACTGAACCCATAACTTTAAGCATATAATAGGTTAAATACTAAAAACCTTAAAGGTTGAACCCATAGAGTTTAAATCCAGGGTCCGCCTCTGTCTGGCTTATGGTGCCTGCCTGTTTTTTTTGGTGTATCTGGATTGAAAGAAACCCCAGATGTTTTGATGGTATTTCAACTTCTAGAAGCAACCTGAAAGCTAAATGTTTGGTTAGCTTTTTAGTTGGGTGAATGTTTTCCCCGTAAATAACTCTGATATGTTTTTGGATTTTGTCAGCTCCTTAGCCTTATGACAATTTTTTTGTATTAGAGCTTACATTTTCCCTCTTTTGTAATCTCTGCATCTTCTTGATGCCTTTCTAATGACATTTTACTTACCTTCTATGTTGTGCGGACTCTCCAAAACAGCTGCCGCATCCGTGTTGGATCATCCAAAAATACACTACTTTTGGAAGTCTCAGAGAGGCTAAATTCCATTCTTAATAAACTGTCAAAATATTCACCCCTTAATCCTGACTAAATTAATTCAGCTCTTTCATACTGAACCTATACCCAATTATAAAAGCCAGCATGTTTCTGCATAACCTCACGATGTACTCCAAAAGTACAGATAGAATTAGGTCGGTTTGCGTAAGGAGATCACCATATAAAATAAAATGAAAGATCTCCAGTGAAGTACTTACGGGGCCACATGACTGTTAACTAGAATAAAGTAGATTCTCCAAAACTTCCGCTCCCTCATTATGCGTGGGCATAACTCATACCTTAGCTTTGAGATTTCCTGCAAAAACACCACATGTAATGCTCTTACTAACAATGGCAAATTTGCAAAAGGCACAATTTTATCAGACAATAATTGCACCATTCTGAACAGCCTTTTCCCTTTTCATAGACGTCAAAATTAAAAAGATGTGGTTCATTAGCAAAAGGCAGAATAGGAGATTACAAACTATTCAATATTTCAGTGTACACATCTGCTGAAAGACCAGAACTCAACAAAAATTTTGATGTACCATGAACTTACAAGAGAAGCTGACCAGGACAGTCAGTAGACCTTCTAAACTCAGAACACCAAATAAAGCAACAGATATTGAGACAATAGGTTGATGGACAACTTAAAACTAGTGTAATTATCTTTATATCGAATTCACTAATATGTTCCGACCTTTATTTTATGAAATGAGACTGATTAATATAGCTGACTCCAAGCTAGTTTGGAATTGAGACTTAGTCTATTGATCAGCCGACGCTGAGAGGGTGAATAACACCAGAAGTCATGCCCTCTTTAAAAAAGTCTATCAATCACCCGACCCTGAGAGGGTGAATAACACCAGAAGTCATCCCCTCTTTATTTTAAATGTCATACCTTGACAGATTGAAGAACAAGTTTTGCGTGTTTTTCCTGAAATTCTGTAAGATCCTGCCGAACATTTGAGACTGTAGGAATATCAGAAATCACTGAATCATCTGTGCACATCCAAGACATACTTCAGTTAAGCTAGTTTCTTTTGAGAATAGGTGACTCAAAAGAAATAAACAAGGAACATGTGATTAAGCATAGAAAAATCATTAGAAATTGTAAAAGGAGTCACAATTTTATGATAAATAATGAAAATAACACTGCATGTGAGAGCTTGCTAGATAAAGGAGGAGGATTGCGGTAGGTTGACGGTCGCATAAAACAAGTCTATTTATGATAAAGTCCTCATGATAGCTTACTGAATGGGAATTAAACGGGTCCAAATGGAGTGAAATGGATATTGAGGATGATAAATGAGGGAAATCACAATCTTTAACAAGTATGCTGCCAAAAACTAAAAATGACGTGCTCTAGAAATTATTGCAAGAGATGGGGATCTCAAAAAGATATGAATTCTGTTTTTTTTGTTTTTGTTTTGTTTGCACAGATATTGATGTTTGCTGTTAGAATTCCAGAAATGAGACTAGGAAATAGTAGCTTCTAATACACTTTTTCTTTAACTAACACTTCATGATTTAATCTAAATCGACAAGAGGGGGTTGCTCTAGTGGTGAGCACCCTCCACTTCCAACCAAGAGGTTATGAGTTCGAGTCACCCCAAGAGTAAGGTGGGGAGTTCTTGGAGGGAGGAAGCCGAGGGTCTATCGGATACAGCCTCTCTACTCCAGGGTAGGGGTAAGGTCTGCGTACTCACTACCCTCCCCAGACCCCACTAGTGGGATTATACTGGGTTGTTATTATTGATTTAATCTAAATCCTCCCTATACCATTTTAACCTTGAAGCTCATATAAGAGGTGCAACCAACAGTGTCCAACTGCCCATGCCTTGAAATGTTTACACTTTTCAGGCATATATCCTTGTAAGGTGGTGGACAAGGTCTTACCCGATGCATACTGCTAATAGAATTAGACTCTTGCAGAACAGAAATCATCATGTCATGTCATCTGAGACAACAGTTATCCTCTTCAAGTACTCTGGGCTAGAGATAAAGGAGGGAATACTTCTCCGTGGACTTGACATGTTCCACTTGCAATTTTCGCAGGGTGCTTTATCCGGAAACAAACACAATGACATCTATATATCTCATCACCGAGAAGGATGAGTTTGATTAAGTGCACTGCTTTGCTTGACGGAACCATTTGAATGTTAAGAAAATGTAAGAATGGTATGCAATTCGTTGACGAGACTAATAGTTGGACCTGGTGAAGTGAACCTCAGTCATTCATCTATTGTAGATCTAATTTGCACGGTTAGGTTATAGATGAACCAATCTAATGGATTTCAAGGTTAATGCTAAAATGTAATACCACTTTTAAAATTCAAACAAAATGTGCCATCACTCTCAGCATTCTTCAAATGTTAACCCAATGATCTGAATATAAGTTTTTCCTTAACCTAGGAGGGAAATATTAACAAAATCATTCCCTGAACATACTTGGTTTGGCTCTATACACCCTGTCATCATTGCACGTGAAGAATTATAAATGCAGTAATCTCAAATATATAGAATGAAGAGATGACTGACAACAATGAACGTAGAGGTTCAAAAACAATTTGAACATGTTCTCGCCACTTTAATACCCTGAATAACTAAACAACACCTAGTTTCTCTAGAATTCTATCTCTAAAGCTTCTAGTTCCTTCTATTTAATTCTTCTGTCATAAAACATTTTATATGTCTAGAGTTATAATTCCACAAATAGCGAATCTTCTTCGCATTCCCTCCTGTCAGAATTATTAGATTGAAATTGTGACATAGCAAAATGTAATATCTTCAATACTGTGAATTTCTCTTTTACATTTAGCACAGAGAACTCAGTGATCCAATTTTCTATTAATTTTCCTTCTTTCAGCAATCTAATTGAACTCCGAATTGAAAAATATACTTTTTCCAGTACAAGAAATACTACACTTTCACCTCTAATTCAGAAATGTACAACAAATTACCTTCAAGTGGGAAATCCTGAAAGGTATTAATGGTAATCCCCTTAACGAACTCTCTCAAATCATCAGTAACTCCAAATTTCTCGAGATCGGCAAGCGTAGGGGCAGATGACGCCGTTTGAGGAGCAGCCGACGACGAGTCAACAATGTGAGAAAGCGCAACGGAAGGGATTTGAAACTTGATCTGTTCAGCGCGTTTGAGAGCGTCGACTTTGATCTGATCGGCGCGTTTAGAAGCTTCAGATACGATAACATCGGCGCGTTTGGTAGCTTCGACGGCTATTTCCTTGGATCGTTTGGAAGCCTCGACAGCGATTTCTTTGGATCGCTTTGATGCCTCAACAGCAAATTCCTTAGATCGTTTGGAAGCTTCTAGAACGACGTCGGAGAGCTTGGAGGAACCAATGGTTAGCTCCTGAGAACGATTAGCGGCTTCTTTTGTGAATTCTGTGGTTCGCTTTGCTGCTTCTTCAGCAAAACTCCGAGCCTTTTGCCAGAAATCCATTGAACCTTTTTGGACTAACAAGAGAACAGAAGCTAATCAAAGTAATGGATCGGAGAAGTGTAATGGAGATGCTGCAAATGAGCTTCGGGATTCGGAATAGCGAAGTACTGAGTTTTAAAGACGACAAAGAAGAGAAGAAACAAATGAGGACTTTTTATTAGAGTTACGAAGAAGGAAGCGCCTTATACCGAGAAAATGATAAACATGGTCCCTCAAACATACGGGTACATTTGAAATAGTCCTTAAATATACTTTCGAGCAGTTTTGGTCCATTAAATTTGCTACAAACGAGCACTTTTGATCTTTGTAAAAAATATTGAACAAACTCTGACTGTCGCATTTAACGAGAAATGCAAAAAACATTTGGAGATGTAATTTTTTTATAATTTTTGCTATTTTGGTGTGAGTTGTAAGTTTCTACAGAATTTTTAGTTTAGGTCTGATATTTGATGTTATTTTTAATATTACTTGCTATTTGACAAGATTTTTCTAGCATTTTTGGGTTAAATTCTTTTTCTTATAATTTTTCGTTAAATCTAACGGTCAAAGTATGTTCAAATATTTGAGGGAACCAGATAACTCAATTTTAACAAATTTAAAGGATCAAAGTTATCCAAAAGTGCATTTTAGGGACAATTTAAAACTATCCTCAAATTTCTATGCTTACATCAAACAAAGAAAACAATATATGTGTCATAATTTGTAATTACTTAATTAGGGAAATCTCACCTTAATTTATGACTTCTAACGTAAAAATTTTAAATTTGGTACAAACCTATATGCCAGCAAGATTTTTCTTAAGAAAGTTAATTTCATTTATTTTCTAACATTTTAGTTTTTCTTTCCTTTTTTGGCAGGGAGGGAGGGGGAGAAATCTGGAATTTTTGAATTTATATATCAAATCAAACTATATTATAAGTGTGAAGACCTAAAGTGAAAATCAAAATACCATAATACCCCTCAAAAGTTGAATGGTTGTTTTGTCCTTCACATAAAAATTAATCTATTAAATGTATAACTTTTGTACCCTAAAGTTTAGTAACTAAACCAATAGTTACGCCTGCACTCTTTTATCTTCTATTAAATGTATTAACTTTTAACTACACTAAACAATAGTAACTCCCGGACTCTTTCATCATCCATCAATTATAGTACAAATTTAATTTAATACGTATCCGTTTATTTTTTATATTTTTTTAACAGTAATAACATTTGTTTATATATGTCTTTTGACTTCCTCTGTTTCAAATTATAAAAGTCTACAATAATGTGTAACACTTACCCCTTTCTCTTCTTCCCGACAATCTATTATTAGTCGGGAATTCTTTCCTATATTAGAACATTGGTCATTTTATTTGATATATCTCATTCCATCTTGTAGTAATATTGTTCCTTGTCATATATAATTTTCGGGAGTTATTATCATGAAACTGAACATCAAATCGATAAAATTATTTTCCACCTTGAAATTTGAAAGTTGTACTGCCTAACATTATTTATGATTTGTAACTTTTGCAACAATATTATATAAATATTGGATTCCATAATTATTTTTCGATTCTTTTCGTTCTACTGTTGTTGGTATTGATTGAGCTTGGCTTTAATTCGGCATAATAAATTTTAATTATTTATTTTATTTCTTCAAACTATACATACTAGCAACTCTTAAAGTTGACAAACTACTTGGAATAAACAATAAATTGCGAATTTTATTGTCTCTATTATATGATGCCTTAAGAGATAATTTCTTAACCTACACTAATTGTAGTATCAAACTCATTATCAAATTTTAAATATGCAAATCAAATTTAAATCCGAATAATTATATTATTTTTTCCTTACTGTCTGTAGATAATATATTTGTTTTATTTCACAACCTGAATGCAAATTGTTTATTTATGCCTATTATTGAACTTTCACTGCTCATAAATGAAGATATGCTTTTATAAAATTCATTTGAAAGCAATAACAATAAATAAAGCAGAAGGTCAAAATATTTTTTTATTGTTGGCTTGTATTTTTCGCAATATGTTCTTTCACGTGGACAAGTGTGCTTCACTTTCAAGAGCTTTATCAATTGCCTCAACAAAAGTTCTGATTATAAAAAACATCGGAATGGTAATACACCAACAACATCGTTTATAAAACAATATTAGCTAGGTGAAACACGATCATATCACATGTTTGTACCAAATAATATCATAATTAATTTCACTCACGTTGTACCTAAGTAACTAAAATTTTTAACTTCATATGTTCAAACGATGCCTAATCATTTTACATTCAAGAACCAAGTCGGCCGAATTAGTTCACCATTCATCAGTTTGAACTTGCATTTCTCCCCTCAAATTTAGTATAACTTATCGCACATATATTCTAATATTATTTATATTAATTAAATATATCAGTATTAATTAACGTTCTATACACGTGCAACGTACGTATCGAGAAACCAGTTGTTGATATATAGGCAGGTAAATAGCCCACACAATTAGCTCGGGAGGAAGATTGAAACTATATTAGCTTGAGCTGAGCAACTCAAGGAAAAAAGGGAAAGAAATGTCAAAACTACACATCTAATGAAGTCTGGATTCTAGAGTGAGCATCTACCTAAGAAATGTCAAAGCTATATAAGTAGAAAAATCGAACCAAATCAAAAATCAATTCAAATCGACCAAAATAAAATCAATATCTTTTTAGCTCTTTCAACCGCGGCCTAATCCCTCGACATGCTATCGAACCAAGAGCCATCCAATTTGGTCAATCAAATAAAATTTGAAACAAATTTGATTTGATTAAAAATAATCGGAAAAAATTGAATCAAACTGACCAAAAAAATACTTATTTAAAACTTATTATTACACATACGCACACACATAGACACACATGCACGTACACACATGTCTGTATATTATATATATATATATATATAGCTCTCCATTCTTTCAGGATTCTTTCCCCTTAAATCTATGCACGACCTTATAAAAGAATATTTATATAACTAAATTACGTAAAAGTATTACAACAATCACTTATAAAAAGTATAATTAGCAATCTTAAAAATAAGATAAATTAAATGATATTATATGTTAAAATATATAAATAAATATAATATTTTTTTACGTACTATCACTATATATAAATTAAATCATTTTCTTAAACAAACTTAACTTGTAAACTAATTTGACGGTTAACTTTTTTTTATCAATGTAGTTCAGACTTACTATAATTAATTGTCTGTCTTATTGTTCATGAGGTAACTAACTTTACTTATTTTATACACTTGTCTCCCAAGCACCTTGAAAGTACCGCATGTAATGCTAAAACTTTCCCTCCAATCCACTTTAATCGATTTCTTAACCCCACCATATTTAATTTTTTTAAATATCAAAAAATAATTAACTTCTTTTTTTAAAAGTTATTCGTGGAGTAAAGAGTCTATGAGTATTTGTTATTTTTTCAAGGAACAAATAAAAATTAATTTGATCAATTTTATTAATTAATGTTAAAAGTTGAATTCTCTGTAAAAATAGTCAAAAAAAAATTAATTAAAATGGACCGGAGAGAGTAAGATTTTAAACCTTGCCACATGTCTGAAATCTTTCAAAGCAATATCTCTGGTTTAATCACTCACATAAATTATATCAGCTTAAAGATGTGTCATCCACTTGTCTGTTTATCACCTTGTAAAGTATTCATGCAAATCTTTAACTAGGTTTTTCACCTTTCCACGTGTCCAAAATTTGTGCTAACACAATGCCACTTGTGTTCTGATTCAGTAACTCTCATCTCATACATCAGCTTAAACTTTTTACTAAGAATAACTTGATAAGTAAAATTTTGACTAAATTTGTTAGAATGCATGTACTCAGCATGAAGTGTAAGAGGCAAAGGAGACGAAATGTAAGACTGAGTGAAGTTGGAGATATTCCTGCTGCATGTGGCATTTCCAATATAAATAAGAGAATTTTTGGTAATCAGAAATGGAAAACTCAATTCCTACAATGTAAAGATTCAGAGAATAGTCATGTTCTAGCGCTGCCTCAACAAATGTCAAAATCAGTTTCTGATTTGGCTAGTTGTGACAATATTAACAATGCAATATTATGTCTTGGAACCAAATTTAGGGTCATGAAAAGGCAAAAGAAGAGTACATGTAAAACCAAAGTTGGTTCCTTAAACAAGAAGCCAAGAAAAGGGTCAAAAAAAGAAGTGCTCAATGATAAAACAAAAGGTTATAATAGCAATCCAAATAGTGTTAGGAAATGGCTTGAAGAGCTTGGATTTAAGAAGTATGGTTTATTATTTGAAAAACATGAAGTGGATGATGAAACTCTGCCATTGCTTACATTTAATGATCTCAAAGAAATGGGAATTTCTGCGGTTGGAAGTCGGAGGAAGTTGTTCAATGCAATTCAAGAATTAAAGGAAAGGAGATAAGGGTGATTAGAAAACAAATGGCTTTAAGTATCATTTTGGAAAAATTGATCAACCAGCATATTATAGAGTTACAAGTACATTATGTTATGCTCTTTTGCTGGCTTTGCTAGTTTTGTATATGTCTGGTGCTGGTTGTGAAAATGTAAATTTTTCCTTTGCTTCGTAAATCTAAACAATAAGTTAGATTCTTCACTTACTTGCTATTTGACAGCCTATTTCCATGTTGGTTGGCTCTTTATTAAGCTTGTTGGTGATACTCGTTTCATCAAAACAAGTTGTATCAT